GGAGGAGTGATAGGGAATGGCAAAGGACACACTGACAAAGGAGATTAATCAGAACTGGCTTTGACAAGCACTGTGGCAAATGGACAATTAAAACAGACTTTCAAGGAGGGGGTAAAAACACGAATAAACTGGGGAGGAGGGTTGAGAAAATAGTGCAACAATGAATGAATGAAAACCCAAAATATCTGTCAATGTTCATTAAAATTAATAAAATTTAACAATTAAAAAAAAGAAAAAACATGGATGAAAATGTTTATTGGAATTTGAGAAGTGCAATATACAAAGTAATGCTTTATCTCCTCTATCTCTTAGATTACAAGGGAAAATGGATATACCAAATCCTCCAACTTCCAAATGTATCACTTACTGGAAAAGAAAAGTTAAATCTGAATATATGAGACTTAGACAACTTAAACGACTGCAGGCCAATATGGGTGCAAAGGTAAAAAAATGAATGATTGTACACTTTTAATACATAGTACCTTGATCCAGTGTGCAACGGTTGGATTATTATTTTTAAACTCGTATTTTGAAATCCTAACAGTCTTCTCTTGGCTATTGCTAGGCTCTGTATGTAGCAAATTTTGCAAAAGTTCAAGAAAAAACCCAGATCCTCAACGAAGAATGGAAGAAGCTTCGTGTCCAACCTGTTCAGTTGATGAAGCCAGTGAGTGGGCATCCATTCCTCAAAAAGGTACTTCTAGGGGTCTCACTCCATCCTTGCCTGAGGTTTATGGTTATTTTTTTTCTGGTTTTGTAACATACATGATGAATAGTAGATTTAGCCATTCTAATAAATTTTTAATAATTAGCATCTATAGTTTAGGAAATAACCTTTCCCCCTTGTATTCTGATAAGAATTCACTTTTACACTGAAAAATGTAATTATGAATTTGTCATAGGAAAACTAGATAGTTATCACCTACTATCCTGGACTCTATTCAAGTGCCAAAGCTCCCTTTTTTTTTTTTTGCAGATAAAGGCTTGTTTTATTGAATAAAGGCTTGTTTTATTGAATGATCTATATAAATGCCAAGGCCACTATGTACAGAGAGGAGAGGAGCTTCATTTCTTGGTCTCTTCCTCTTTAGACAGAGTCTTGATGATTTCTTCTTTCTTGGCCTGGAGTCGCTCCTCACGTCGTTTGCGTGCCTTCTTGGTCTTAGATCTACGGGCCTCAGCCTGGTCAGCCAGGAGCTTCTTGCGGGCTTTATCTGCCTTCAGCTTGTGAATGTGTTCCATAAGAATTCGCTTGTTTTTGAACACATTCCCCTTTACTTTCAGGTACAGGCTGTGATACATGTGGCGATCAATCTTCTTAGACTCTCGGTATCTTCTTAGCAGCCGGCACAAAATCCTCATCCGCCTCATCCAGGTCACCTTCTCGGGCATTCGAGCATTAGCAGTACCCTTTCGCTTACCTATGCCCATATGCCGGCCCTTTCTGCGGGCTAAGGTATTTTTTTGGCATCGAGCCCGAGAATGGACAGTCACAGGCTTGCGGATGATCAGGCCATCTTTGATCAGTTTCCGGATTTGCTGGCGATAGTTGCCATTGGCAATTTCATTGGTCTCGTTGGGGTCCAACCAGACTTTCTTCTTGCCACAGTGGAGGACACTAGAGGCAAGCCTCTTCTGAAGCTTGAACATACTCATGGCTGCGGCCACAGTGCTGAAAGGAAAGGAACTGCTCTGGTTAGGCTCCTCCCATTATCTCCAAAGCTCCCTTTTTTGTGGCTGGTTTAGCTTCCCAGGGACTTTTGGACAGGAGTGCCTTCTATTTTTTTTTTTTAAATTGCATTATTTTTATGTGTACCGTCAAATCAGATCTGACTGGTACAGGAGGAGATTGTCCCTCCTTCTCTGGCAGAGCATCTGGTGGATTTGAACTGCATACCTCTGGTATTGCAGTGCAGCGTCTTGCCATTAGGCCACCAGAGCTCCCCAGGAGTGCCTTCTATTGATTAAAGAGATGGCCCTGATGGTAAATGTAAAAAGAACATTCTAGTTCCTTAATGAGAAAATATTTTCAAATATAAAATATGTAGTGTATTTGCATGTAGTGTATTATTACTGTTACCTTTCCACTATACAACTCTTAATTGCTATACTGCTTTGCTTCCCTTTATATTGGCTCCATCAGAGTTGATGTTTACAATGTCAAAATTTATATTCTCTGGAAATGTCCTCATCTAATCATTGCTTTCAATTTTCAGAAGCCCTTTGCTATTGTGTACACATCAAGGAGACCAGCGTATTTTTTTAAAAAAAATTTTATTTCCCTTGTGTATGTGTACCATAAAATCAGGTCTGACTGGCGCAGGAGAAGATTTCCCCTCCTTCTCCAGCAGAGAATCTGGTGGATTAGAACCCTGTGCCTTCGCGATTGCAGTGCAGCTTCTTGGCACTAGTCCACCAGAGCTCCCTGAGCATTTTAAAATAGAATTAGCATCAGTTCAGTCACACTGGCAGGCATTGTACTGGATGGACTCTAGTGGATATCAAACCAAAAACCAAATCTGAGGGAGTGCTGGTGCCCTAGTGGCAAGAAGCTGTACTGCAATCTCAAAGGTGCGCAGTTCGAATCCACCAGATATTCCACTGGAGAAGGAGGGCCAATCTCCTCCTGTGCCAGTTGGATCTGATTCGATAGCACACAACAAATTTAAAAAAAAAAACACCCCAACAAATCTGTTGCTGTTAGGTCAGTTGCAATTCTTAGTGACCCTATAGGATAGGATAGCCCCATAGAATGTCCATGGCTGTAATCTGTATGAAAGCACATTTTCACATCTTCCTCCAGTGGAGCAGCTGGTGGGTTTGAACCACCTACCTTTTAGTTAAAATCTGAGCACTTAACTACTATACCACTAAAACTCCTCAATAGAAGATACAAAGGTGAATAAGAGAGAGTTCATGCTTCTCAAAGGTTTATAATCCCATGCTCCCTTTTCGCAGCTGTTACAAAAGCCCAAGCTTATAACAATTAGAAGGCTAATGGGATCATTTTAGAAGGAAACACCCTTTTCTCTTGGGTTATGTACTTGCCTTTTCCTTTTCATGTCATTGCTTGTATTTCAGTGTACCATCGAGAGCATTTTCCCAGGATTTGCAAGCCAACATATGTTAATGAGGTCTCTGAACACAGTTGCCTTGGTTCCCATCATGTATTCCTGGTCTCCTCTCCAGCAGAACTTCATGGTATGTATTAAAGACAGTATGGTAGTTGTTTAATCTGTATGATTTTTTTATTATTATTATTTTTCTGTTACTACCCTTGGCCAATTTTGTAACATTATGTGCCTTCAAATTCAGTCTAAATCAGACAGTTGAGGCTTAAGCAGGTTGGCATATCCCTATTAATAAAGGAATCTTTCTTGAATCCCCCAAGAGCAAGATACTATGAAAGTAACTGTGATAACAGAGGTGCACGTGGATCCACAGTCCTTTATCTGGCTCTTTACGCTGACTCTTGCTAAGATTGTTTGTGGTTCTGATAATCCATGCTCTCTAAATATTACTGTTGCTTATCATCTGCCTGTGACAGATAGCAGTGTTGTTGAGTGGGATGGGATATAGGTTTACAGAAGGGAATCATCTCTTAGAATAACATTTTCGAGTAGTAATTCTACTTGATACTTAGGGATTTGAAAATGAATGTATTCCTTGATAACCCAAATAGGGCAGGAATCCTTTAGTGTTGTTTACTGCTGGAAAATATCTGTAGCCCATAATGGCTTTAGTTTTCCTTTGAGAATTATCAGCATGAGTTATAACTGTACTTTTTATTATTACATGGACTAGTCTTAATCTACTTTTAGGAAGAAATAGAAAAAAATCTTATAGTTACCTAGTTTCTGTTCTAAATGTGCTAGTTATATTGAAAATTATAATCTTCATTTTCTGTATTTCTACTTATGAAGAGCTTTGAACGTTTTAGATTACTATTGTTTAGGTGATGTTCATACCTTGTTCAGAATGATGTTTCAGAGATCACTGTGGGACGTAAATATGTTGTTAGATTCTGGGTGTTTGTAGAAATGCTATTTCCAATATCAAGCTGAATTTTTGATTCCTAGTATTTTCAAATAATTAAAGTATATTTCCCCTAAGAAAAATATTCTTTCTTCCACTTGTGATTTTATTGGCAAAATGAAACAGCCAGTCTTTACAGTCTAGAAAACTCTGTGACCAGTAGCATTTTTACAAGATTCAAAAAGGAATAAAGGACAGCTGGAAACAGGAGCATCAGCAATCACAGTGGGTAGAAAAGTGCAACGCTAAAGTTGCTTTCCCATTCAACAGTTTGCATTTTGTTTGGTGACACTGTTTGCAGTCCCCACAAGGGCTCCATTCCTCTCCCATTTCCCCTTTCCTATCTCTTCTTGCCCTTAAGCTTTATACTTGGGGCAAAATGCTGCCCTTTTTAATGTTAAATGGTTGTCTTAAGGAATGTTCCTGCCATCCTCAAGACCAGTGTGCCATATTGTCTCCAACAAACTTTTTTTTTTAATTTTTTTTCATATGTGTGTGTGTGTGTGTGTGTGTACCATCAAGTCAGATCTGACTGGTACAGGAAGAGATGGAGATGGTCCCTTCTCCAGCAGAACATCTGGTGGATTCAAACCATACGCCTCTGGGATTGCAGTTCAGATTTTTGCCACCAGGCCACCAGCCTCCAAAAAACTTTAGAGCTCAAATTTTGACACACTTAATAGGTCACAGAAGCTTGGATCTCTGACCTGCCTTTCTGGGAGGTTTTTGTTTGTTACTGGAATCATTTTTTTAATTGAGAAATTTAGAATCATATTTTTTATTGGGAAACTGGGGTCAGCAGACACTATGGGCAATAGGAATAAGTCTTTGGGCTCAAGAATGAGCCTAGAGCAGAGGAGCCCAGCCTGGGAAAATGGATCAAATCCAGACGCTTGTGCAGGTGGTGTCAGGGAGTACCGACTGGCATGGTGGAGAGGCAGTCCCCAAGAGCGCCGCAGCAGGGCCAGTAGATCTGGAAGATGGTGGTCAGGTGGTTAGCACAGTCACACAGAAGAGGAAGCCCACAGCTGAGCGCCAGACAGCATGATGTACTTCCAACACAGACACTCCTCTTTCATAGTTGCTCAGAGGATGCCGTCTCCTGAGGGCCAGGCAAGGAGAACAGGACTTCTCTAGCCTGATGCTCTGACTACTTAAGGGAGAAAATGGTTCATCTTCCCCTTGACAGGGTTAGCCTCTGGCCATTTTAAAATTTGGAACCATTTTAAACTAGTTTTTAAATTTTCTTTTTTATTATAAAATTATATTTGAAAAAAGGTGACAAAATAAACAATAAAGGTTTAGCAAAGACTTGATTAAACAGCAAAGTGGAATGACATGGTAACTTTATGAAACAAGTCACATCTGGTTTGATTTCAGGTAGAAGATGAGACAGTTTTGTGCAATATTCCTTACATGGGAGATGAGGTGAAAGAAGAAGATGAAACTTTCATTGAGGAGCTGATCAATAATTATGAGGGGAAAGTCCACGGTGAAGAAGGTATTTGTGCTGGGCTCTTTGGGAGAAGACATGTACACTCTTCACTTAGTATGCTTATTTTCCAAAAACCAAGTCATTTGCCAAAACTTGACAGTGTGAAAATGGAAGATGACTATGTTTTACTTAACTGTCACATTTTGTCATTATCTCTGTAACTGCTAGATTTCATCATTATATAGCTGTCAAATTCTATCTGTATATAACAGCCAAAAACCACTGAGAAATACAGCCCAGTCAAATTGGCACATACCTTTATCCATGACAGCCAATGATGCTCTTGTCTTACACCTTGGCTTTTGTTATTGCCAGACAGATAGATATTGTTAATATGCAAAATAGTAATTTTTAAAAAAATGTGTGTAAATGCAAAATGTCGGGCAGTGAGTGCATAAGTGAGGCACGGATGTGGTGTCTTATATTTGGTGTATTACCATCTTGCTTTTTATCTACTACTCCTTGGGATAAACATTGAACAATATTTATTGTCATCATGTAACTAGGACTTAAATTTTTGAGTTAAGAATATTCCAGTTTAAATTTTAAAAAGGAGTTGAGCCATCATAAAAGGATGATAAAGTAGTCCGTGTCTAAAAATAAAGTTCCATGTGCTTAGTTTGGTCTTCGGAATTTTCAGTAAGACATCCACTGCCATTTTATTCATTTTTTGGGGGGGCATTTTATTCTTAATTCCTCTTTTTTCTGAAAATGGTAATGAGTCTATCCTCTCTGACATACCGGTTTGATCTGGTGTCCTCTGGCTCTTGCAGTAGTTGGTTCCAGTATCTGAGTAGAAGCAAGTCACTTGAGTATAATTGTAGTTCTAGAAAGACTCAGTGTGCTGGAAGTGGGAAGGTAGGGAAAGACTTTGGGGATTTACACACCAGTACCCTTTACTGCTTTTCTTAAAGGGAGCTCTGGTGGCCTACTAAGAAAGGAGTTACGCTGCCAACTTAAAGTCAGGTGGTTTGAATCCACCAGCTGCTCTGCAGGAGAAAAACAGGCAGTCTTTCCTGATGCAGGGTACAACCTCTGAAAAACTAGTTGAGGTGCAGGTGTGAGTTGGTCCCACTAAACAGGAATGAGAGACAACTCTTCTGATAGTGCAAGTTACTCTGCTAACCAAAAGGTCTGCAGTTCAAATCCACCAGCTGCTCCTTGGAAGAAAGATGAAACAGTTTTCTCTGGTGAAGATTTGTAGCATCAGAAACCTGGTGGAGGGTCACTCTGAGTCAAAACTGACTCAATGACCATAGGCTGACTCTGCTTTTTTGTTAAGCTGAGCGGTCTTGTGAAGCCATTGAAACGCATTATTGGTCTACAGTGCCCTCTGGTGTTCAAAGACTTGTATTTTTGTTTATTTGAATAAGGGTTTACAAATCATACTGGGTTTTGATTTAATCATATTATAGACATTTTACTTATAACACTAATTGCCATCAATTAGTCACACTATCCAATCATTCCCTTACTTGGGCGTAAAAATTAACTATTTTGGATGAAATTGTGCTTTTAATACTGTATGATATTTAGAAAAAGATTTTTTTTTTGTTTTAAGAAGTCACTGTTGACTCAGCAACAGCAAATCCAAGTGCATTTTAATTTTATCATTCTTTCTTTGTCCAAGTCATGATTTTTCACACACTTTTGTGAGATTGCTGACCCTAACTACAAGGGCAGTGACTGGAAGAGTTAAATAGGTTAGTAAAAGTAGAGCTTGTAACTGGATTTCATTAGAGCCACTTTAGCAAAATGAGCTATTGTAGTAATAAGAGCCAGTAAAATGATTGTAATTTTCTGATTGGCTAAACACAAAAGTGCAAGTATGATAACTGTCTAAACCTTGGGAGTGAATATAAGAAAACCTTCCTAGAAATACCAGTAAAGTCCAGAAGAACCGCTGTTCACCTGTTTAATCCTCATGTTTCAGAGATGATCCCAGGGTCTGTCCTCATTAGTGATGCTGTTTTCCTGGAGTTGGTAGATGCCCTGAATCAATACTCAGATGAGGATGAGGAAGGACACAATGATACCTCAGATGGAAAGCAGGATGACAGCAAAGAAGACTTGCCAGTGACGAGAAAGAGAAAACGACATGCTATTGAGGGTAAATAGCACTGCTTCCTTGTATCACTCTGCAGGTTATAGGGTGAGGGAAGAACTAAAACAAGAGAATTAGAGGGTGTTGGTTATTCTCATTGGCCCACTTAAAAGGAAAACATGATCACTGGTAGCTTAAGACAACTGTAACCTAGCTAAAGAAAGTATAACTTACAGAATCATTGTTGATTATCCCTAATTATAAAAGAATGTGTTTGACAATTATAAAGAAGAAAATAAAAGTTACCTTTTAATTTTCCTAACTAGGAATAGCTACCATTATATGTATATATCAGTATGTTTTTCCATATTGTGTGGTATTGAGATTATGCCATATGTACAATTTTGTGTCCTTTTTCATTTAATCTAAGGAGCCCTAGTACTTTAATGTTTTATATGTTGAGCTGCTAACTGAAAGGTTGATGGTTCAAATCTACCATCTTAACTGGGGAGAAAGATGGGCAGTCTTTGCTCATAAAGATTTACAGCCCCAGAAACCCAATAGAAGATTACCATGAGTCAAACCAGACTTAATATAAGTGATTTTGCTTTGATGGATTTTATTTATTCTTATATTATAGCATGAGCATTTTTTATGTCATTAGTATTGTGGATTTAATTATACTATGTATTAAATAATCTTTTTTAGGGAAATATTTATCTGCTAATATGACTGAGTTATGTTATCAGTCTTATTCTCCACTATCAACAGGCTAGTAGGAATTTTCTATATTCAGGTTTTTCTTGGTTTCAATTTCAGAGTCTCACCTGGATTTTACTGATAATATGAAAATGAACGACTATGACTTTCTTTCCTGGCGCCCAGTGTGAGACATGTGCCAGTCGCATTGATTAGTTTGTTCTCAGACAGGCAGTGATTAGGTTAACCTAACAACTCTAGGAAATGCTGTGACAAAAGGGAAGGAGAGAAAGTGGCTTTATTTGCTCTGTTCACAGCATTCAAGAGCTGTCCTTTTCAATTAGGTAGCAAAAAGAGTTCCAAGAAGCAGTTCCCAAATGACATGATCTTCAGTGCCATTGCCTCCATGTTTCCTGAGAATGGTGTCCCAGATGACATGAAGGAAAGGTGAGTAAAACTCTCCAGCTTTGGCCATGTACAGAATACTTGGATGAAACTTTTATTCAAGTATGACTTTTGGCTAGTGAGTCTCATTTATGGTAAATGATAAATTATTATTTCCTTGTTCTTCTAATTATTTTTGTACTTATCTCTCTCAATACCTTTTCCTAGTATTTACTGTAAGTTTAAGCAGAACACTTTAATTCTGCCATTCTTCTGAGGAGTTACTCCCATAACTTGATAAGTCAAGTGTTTTCTTTTCAGGCATATGCTCATCATGATTACAATAGTGCACCCACTTTGTTATACATAAGTCTTTCATAAAAAATACCCATAAAAAATACCCATCCTACCCTGGCAGACCATACCTGAATAACTGGGGTATTCAGCCTGGACTTTCTCATTGGGGACATTCCATCAGAAAGAACTCTTGTCTCTCTTTTCTTAAATAGGTATCGAGAGCTAACAGAGATGTCAGACCCCAATGCACTTCCCCCTCAGTGCACACCCAACATCGATGGCCCCAATGCCAAGTCTGTGCAGCGGGAGCAGTCTCTGCACTCCTTCCACACACTGTTTTGCCGGCGTTGTTTTAAATACGACTGTTTCCTTCACCGTGAGTGGGGCTCCTCTGCTTGAAACACTTTTTCTTTTCTGCCTATGCCCGTTTCCTGCCCTGGGTTGTTTCTAGTTTATCATATAAACCTTCTAGCTTTAATTAGATGATGCCTTTACAAAAGACCGATTGTGTTTTCATTTAGCCATTTGTAATTGTCTCTCACTACCTCCTAACTATGGAAAGCGAAAGCTTGTACTGATAACAGAAGTGACTCAATTATGGTAGCTGTTTATAATCAAATTATTTCTGCTATAGTAGCTCCTAATCCCACTTTATTCCTCCCTGTCCCATCAAGTGGGTGGAGCCCTGGAAACAGGACAGTTTGTGTTTTCCAGCTTTTCATGCCACCCCTAATGTATACAAACGCAAGAACAAAGAAATCAAGATTGAACCAGAACCGTGTGGAACAGAATGCTTCCTTTTGCTGGTATGTTCTTAAGCTGTCCTAACATTATTAACTGTATTGAAAACTGCATAGAACATAGTTCTTGGGCTTTATGCCACTGGGAACAGAAGCCAAGTGAGTCAGTATATCACACCCTGGTGATCATGATTCAAATAAAACATGACTTTTTTTTTTTAATTAAAGTTTACAAAGACTTAGGTTTCCATTCATTCATTGTGGCACTTTTCTCCCTGCCCACCCCCTCCCCCAGTTCTTTCTTCTCTTTGAAAAGTAAAAGAAAAACTCTTTCATTGTTATGCAGTCCCTCCCCCCAAGTCTACTCCACGGTTCAGCCTTAATTCTGGACTTCTGTAATGACAGTAATACCCAATCATCCCAATCATATATATCCCTTTAAACAGTTCTCTTCCTCATCTGTTTCAGTGCCATTTACATCATTCCTCCCCTCCTTCTCTGTCTTCCCTCAACCCTGATGTCAGTCCCATTTTACAACAGTGGCTCTATGAATATTTGTCCTTTTGTGACTGAGATATTTCACTCCGCATAATGTCCTCCAGGGTCACCCATTTTGTATAATATTTCATGAGTTCCTTGTTTTTCGGTGCTGCATAGTATTCCATTGTGTGAATATACCAGAGCTTCTCTATCCATTCGTTTGTTGATGGGCACTTGGGTTGTTTCCAGCTCTTTGCTATTGTTAACAAAGCCGCAGTAAACATGAGTGTGCATATATCTGCTTGGATGGTGGTTACGTTTTTTAAGGGTAAATTCCCAGTAGTGGAATTGCTGGATCAAATGGTATTTCTGTTTGCAGCTTTGTGAGAAAGGGCCATACACCCTTCCATAGTGGTTGCACCATTTTACACTCCCACCAGCAGTGAATAAGGGTTCCAGTTTCTCCGCAGCTTCACAGCATTTGATGTTTGCTGTTCTGTTAAGTTTTGCTATTCTTACTGGGGTGAGATGATATCTCAGAGTTGTTTTGGACTTCTTCTCTTAAGGAGCTCTCCAGACGCTCGGGCAGTGGATTTGTAAGTTCTATGAAATAAAATTTGAAGGCAGTAAAGGCTCTCGGCTCTAAATATCATCTGTTCAGATTTCAACATCTTAAGTATTATTAGAAGTGGAACACATTGCTTGTATGTTTGTGTTACATACTCTGTGATCTTTGCTGCCATCCATCACACACATATAACCATAGGAGAATAACATATTGAAGGCATTTATGTCTTTTTGTGAGATAATATATTAGGTAGACTCTTCCTTACAACGCAGCATAAATTCTGGAATACCTGGAAGAGGCAGTTCACTGAGACCTAGAATAAAAATACCTTGATAAAAATTTCTGTCACCAGGTAAAATTAGATTATACTGCCAGGTATAATCCCAAACTTTGAGCTCACCTTTTGTGGGTGAAAAGAAAGAATTGAAGGAAAGATGGTAAGAAGTACTGTTGACTATATATCTATAGAGTAGTAAAGGAAAGAGTAAACAGACTTGTCTGATTTACCTTTCTCTAACTTGTGTTGACTCATTCCTAGGTGCTGAGGCTTATGTTAGGCCTTTAACATGCGTTATCTAATTTCCATCTGCACAACAATGTCCCAAGGTGGAAAAACTACAGGTTATGGAAGCTGCATAGCTTGCACTACTTTCAAGTCAGTGTGTGTCAGAGATGAAATTCAAGCCCAACTCTATAGCTTATGCTTTTTATTTTTAAATTACATCATGTAAGGTCAGCATACCAGCTTTTACAGACCTCAAAAATGTATTTGCCTTCTCATAGTACTCACCTTTAATCCCTGCACATGTGTTAAAAAGTTCCTGTTAATACCCAAAATGTGCTTTTTGGTCTCTTTTTTAAAAAAGATAGTTATGTATACAATTTTCATTCACTATTTTTTAGATATTATGCATTCAAATAGAAATGTTGGACTGTTTTCTTCTAACTTTTTATTAAGAACATAAATGTTAGTGGCAAGATGCTGCACTGCAATCCCAGAGGTATGCGGTTCAAATCCACCAGATGCTCTGCTGGAGAAGGAGGGGGCAATCTCCTCCTGTACCAAGTCAGATCTGATTTGACGGTACACATAAAAATAATACAATAAAAATTTAAAAAAAAGAACATAAATGTTCAACTGAATAGTTGCACATAAATGTGAAGTTGAATTCCAAATATTTTGATCATGTAGAGGAGTTGAAAATACCTTCTTCTTGATATAGTGACATTTTTCTATACTTGTATTATCCATATATTTATAGAATGTGCACCTTTCACTGAGCCATTTGAAAATAAGTTGCAGATACTGTGATGCTTGTTTATTAAATATTTCTGCATATACCTCTTAAAGACATTTTTTTACACAACTGAATTATTACACCTAAGAAAATTAATAGGAATTTTAGAATTTCATATAGCATACTTTCTATAAACAACCTAATGATAAATGGAGAAAATATTGAAGTTGTCAAGGATTTAATTTTCCCTGGATCTATAAATATCAGTCAAGAAATCAAAAAACATCTTTTCCTGTGAGCGGCTTCAGGTAATCGGCCAACATGGTTCGCTACTCGCTTGACCCGGAAAACCCCACAAAATCATGCAAATCAAGAGGCTCAAATCTCCGGGTCCATTTTAAGAACACCCGAGAAACTGCCCAGGCCATCAAGGGTATGCATATCCGGAAAGCCACCAAGTATCTGAAAGATGTCACTTTGCACAAGCAGTGTGTGCCCTTCCGATGATACAACGGTGGAGTTGGTAGATGTGCCCAGGCCAAACAGTGGGGTTGGACACAGGGTCGGTGGCCCAAAAAGAGTGCCGAGGTTTTGCTGCATGTGCTTAAAAACGCTGAAAGTAATGCTGAACTTAAGGGTTTAGATGTTGATTCTCTGGTCATTGAGCATATCCAGGTGAACAAAGCTCCCAAGATGCGCCGCCGCACATACAGAGCTCATGGTCGGATTAACCCCTACATGAGCTCCCCCTGCCATATTGAGATAATCCTTACTGAAAAGGAACAGATTGTTCCTAAACCAGAAGAGGAGGTTGCCCAGAAGAAAAAGATCTCCCAGAAGAAACTGAAGAAACAAAAACTTATGGCTCGAGAATAAATAAATCATTAAATAAAATTAAAACTTTAAAGCTGAAAAAAAAAGAAATCAAACAACATAAGAACTTCCTGCATTGTACAGATCTGCTGCGAAAGGCCATTTTAAAGTGTTAATGAGCAAAGGTCTCAACCTCCTTGTGCTTCCCACAGACGGTATTCTTGCACTGACTATAGAAGGAAGAGGCAGAGTAAGATATTCCATATATACCTCAGCCCAGGCCTTTCGCTTGATTTGTATTGTGAATTGGGAAACATGGCACTTAAAAATAAGTAAAAGCAAAGATGTCACTTTGAGGAGTAAGGTGTGCCTGAGGACTGAGGTGTAGTATGGTGTTTTCAATGTTCATGTAAAACCTGGACACTATTGGTTAAGAATATTGGATGTATTATGGACTTCTGGAAGAATGAATAACTCTGTCTCAGAAGAAATATAGCCAGAAGGCTCATTAGGAACAAGGATGATGAGACTTCATCTCACATACTTTAGACATATTATCAGGAGAGACCTGTCCCTGGAGAAGGACATCGTGCTCAGTAAAGTAGAGGGTCAGTAAAAAAGAAGACCCCCTACATAAGGGATGACCCAGAGGTCACGATCATGGGCTCACGTGGCAGTGATTTTTGAGGCTGGTGCAGGACCAGGCAGCATTCATTCTGATGGGCGCAGAGTTGTTAGGAGTTGAAACCAACTTGCTGGAACCTAACAGCGTCAACAATGTGCATTCTCTATTGCAGAATAACTGCTGCTTTTCAAGTCGGTGTCATCCAGTCATGAGTCATACTTGGTTGTTAACAGCTTTCTGGTTTTTTTTAATCACACATAATCTCACTGCTTTTTTTCTAAAGTCTAGGCTGGTCGTCTTAAAAGATTTTTCTTATGTTTCCTCATAAAGCCACAGAACTTGTTCCTCTGTCCCTCATTTCCCACAAACCAGAAATTAGCTCTAGAGACTTATTTATGTTTGTTTTAAACATCTCGGGGCGAACAGTTTTTAAGTGATGTGGTGTGCTTTATATTATTGCATAAGCACATACTCCCAGACTCAGTTAGTTCTGAAACATGTTTTTTAATTCCCCTTAGAGCCTACAGTATATTATCTTGAGTATCCTTACTGATGGCAAACTTTTGTCCTTTACAAGTGGGCTTGTTGTTTGTTGTTAAGTGCCGTCGAGTCACAGGCGACTCATAGCGACCCTATGAAGGAGAGTCCTCAATGCTTTGGTGTCTCTCATCCTCTCTCCAAGTTCATAGGGTTTCCAGAGGCAAGCTCTTATGAAAGTGGATGCCACTCCTCCTTCCAAGCTTGCTCCACCCCACTCTCTCTCCGCATTGGGTAACCAGTCATTAACGCATTTGACACATCAGTGTCACAGTGTTCAGCCTCACAAATGGGCTTAGCTGTAAAAAAAAAAGAAGGGAAAAAACCTAGCTCCAAACCCAAAAGTCATTGGGAACCACGTCTGGTGGTGGTGGATAGCAAACTGAACTATATTGTTAGTCTGTAGAGAAAAAAACAAGGAAGTACAACTACAAAGTATTGAAACAGTATTCATTATTATCCTGAGTATTCTGAGTTTCATATACTGACAGATCATTTAAGTAGTAGTATTTTACAAATTTAGAGCACATATAGTCTATATATGGAATGAGGCAGTACAGTAAGATGTAAATAGCAATATCCTGGGTCTAATTACCACTCTGCAATGGTTAGCTGTGTACCCTCTTTCTGGACCTCATTTCCTCATCTGTAAGACAATATGATCTCAAATTTTAAATGCCTGACAAGAATATAAATTTTAGATATAACTCACTCAGAGGTTGAAAATATATAACTACACTGTCTCTCTAATGATTATTTTATAAAACAACTCTTGTAAAGAGATGTGAATTTGTAAATTTTAGGTTTTTCATTCTTTGATCATACCTAGCATGACATGGTTAGAGCGTGGGGAGGAAGGTAGCCTTTATCATTGCACTTGAGCACAGATGTTGAGAAAGGTGAAGGTTTGTGATGGTCAGATCAGTCTGGCAACACTAGGCCGTTCCTATTTCCAGTCTGTCATGTGTCCATTGCAGGAAGGAGCCAAGGAGTACGCCATGCTCCACAACCCCCGTTCCAAGTGCTCCGGTCGCCGCCGCCGCCGGCACCACCTAGTCAGTGCTTCCTGCTCTAACACTTCAGCTTCTGCTGTGGCTGAGACTAAAGAAGGGGACAGTGACAGGGACACAGGCAATGACTGGGCCTCCAGTTCTTCAGGTACAGTGAACGAAAAAGATACTTTTTCTGTCCATGAAAGGACACTAATAGTCCCAGTGCCTAAAACTTAAAACATTACTGACTTTTTAAAACTGGTAGTTCTTTCCACAGGGAGCTCTGGTGGCCTAGTAGCAAGAAGTTGCTCTGCAATCCCAAAGGCATGCAGTTCAAGGCAACCAGCTGCTCCACGGGAGAAGGATGGGCAGTCTCCTCCCATGCAATTAACTGCCTCTGAAAGCCCACCACAGGGTTAGCTATGGGTTGGTTCCAGCTTGATGGTACACAACAACAGCAGCAGTCCTTCCCACAAGTTTGGCTGCATGTAATAAAGACAGGATGATTTTGTTCCTAACTATTCTGCCTTTGAAGTAGAATGAAGTATTTCTGAGCTTGTAACTACTTAATGACATTATATCTCACCTTTTCCTGTTCCTCTTATTTCTTCTAGAGGCTAATTCTCGCTGTCAGACTCCTACAAAACAGAAAGCAAGTCCAGCCCCACCTCAGCTCTGTGTAGTGGAAGCACCCTTAGAGCCTGTGGAGTGGACTGGGGCTGAAGAATCTCTTTTTCGAGTCTTCCATGGTACCTACTTCAACAACTTCTGTTCAATAGCCAGGCTTCTGGGAACTAAAACATGCAAGCAGGTACTGTCTGAAAGCAGCTGGCGCAAGCCTGGGCCCTCTATTTGTTGGTCTGTTCTTTTGCTGTCTTGTAAGGCTGCGTGTCTGGAGAGAAGTTATCTTAGGTCCAGTCACTTAAGAGTGCTTCAGGGGCCATGAAATATGAGGCTTTCTTCAGGTCCCAGGCTCAGCAAGGCTTGGGGTGCTGCTCTCCTCCTTGTTGAATTATTGTTTCTTTCTCTGGCTCTTATCTAAGTCTTCTGGATATTTCCATACTCCTTAAGCTGCTGCAGCTTTTTTTTTTAAATCTTCCTTTTTTCTCTAAATGTCTACCCCTTTCCTAGAAGGGGTCCTTCTGTGAGTCTTATCTAGGACACTCCTGCTGCAGCTGCTGGTCACCTCATCGGCCTCGTCACTTACTTTATTCCTCAGTTTTTCTGTCCCTGGATTTTCTGGTTACAGCCCCTAAAGGCTGAGCCCAGATCCACTGCTCCTCGCTCGTACCATCTCTAGAAATAATTTCAGAGCAACCACTGATGCTCTGGAGGCAGTAAAAGACTGGTGACAGGGACTGGGAGCAGATATAAACAAGTAAGTAAGCTTGAGCCATCAACACGTGATTCTTTTAATTTCTGGAGGAGTCTCAGTGGCCTCTTCGTCATAATTCCTTTGCTTGGAACAAGTACTAGAACCATGTGTTGCAGTGTGCTTGCTTCGATTGTTGAGCTCCTGCCCATTTCCCTAAGGTATGATTCCATGGGCTGTGGAATCATGTGCAAATTTGTATATGTCTCTGTTTTCCTAAAAAGAGGATTTAAAGTTTTTGCAGACCCTTGAAGAATTGTAAAACTAAAAAGAGAAGGCTAAAAACTAGTGATAGAGAACAAGAAACTTGGCAAAGGGAAATCAGCCTTCCTGAGATGTCCTGGTGAAGTAGTCCAGTGGCCCTAACAGCTTCTTACCAATAGAGGGAGCTGGAGCTAGTGCTTCGGGATTAAAGTGGTTAGATGGTGGGCATATCATGTCTTAAACTCACTATGAAGGCTGCACAGAGTTAGTTGCACTTTCTAAAGGGCAGCTCCTGTTGCAAGAGTCTAAGCAGCTCATACACATAAAGAGCAGAAGTTGAAAGCTGCTGACCAAGGAAAGTGTTACTGTGCTTAGGATTTTTCCTTTCCCAAGTCAAGATAAACACATAGCAGTTAACTTCAGAGCCAGTTACCTGATGCCAGTTTGTCCCAAACTGAAAAGATGCTCCAGGATATCTCCCTCAGCTGCCTGTAAGCTCTCCAGAACCCTCCATGCACAGCACCTGGCTCATGTCACTTATCTCACCACCTCACTTGAAAAGGAGTGACAGGTCCTGTTGGATTTTTCTTTCAGGTCTTTCAGTTTGCAGTCAAAGAATCACTTATCCTGAAGCTGCCAACAGATGAGCTCATGAATCCTTCACAGAAGAAGAAAAGAAAGCACAGGCAAGGGTCAGACAAAGGACATTTTGTGACTGGGCAGTTGCTTGTGCTCTGACCTCCCCTTTGGACTTCTCATCTGCCTCCCTCATAACCATTGCACAAGGCTGTGTGATGTTCAGCCATTTAGCATTACACAACTGGAGGCTAGAGTTCCCAGTGTTCCCTGAGGCTCGGTGCCCTGAGCAAGCCCACTGCCCTTTCCCTCACGCTCAGATTCTTTGAACCATGTGATGACTGGCTGGCTTACCGTTTAAGCTCCTGGACAGTAAGATATAAGCCAGGCCCTGAGGCCCCACCCTGTGGACCATCCCTGCTCCTTGTTGAATGTCAGGGAGAAGCTGTAGCCAGTATTCTTTTCCCTTTGCTTTGTTTTTGGCACTTGTGTTATTTTTCTCTCCAAGTTGCATAATAACACTGTCTTCTAACTAGCCTTTCCTTAGGGTTGGAAGGTTTTTGTTTGGTTGGGTTTTGGGGAGGTTTTTGTGTTTTTTTTTTTAAGTTTGGCATCCTGCCTAGCTTGGCTCCCTAATAACTATAGCCTATGAAAGGAGCTGAGGCCAGTTCTAGATGTAGAAGGAAGTTCCCTTTGCCTCTCCCTTGATAGTTTCCTTTACTCAGAGAAGATTCCTGAAACAACTTCCTACCTTGACATCTGCAAACTCCTTCACAGCTCTGCCTCTACTGAGAGGACAGAAGATGAAGCATTGGAATATTTATATATATATACATATACGTATATACATATATACATATGTATACATATATACATGTATATATATATAGCGTTAGGTTTTGTTGTTCTTGTATGTTTGTTCTTTTATGTTTTTACTTGAGGAGAGGGCATGGTTTTTATTGTTGCTTAAGTTTAATCCTATAGCATGAGCCAGCTAGATTTAGAAGGGACACTAACTTTGATGAAAGGACACTAATTCCAGAGTAGGTATTTCTTTTTAAGGGATTTTGGGTAAATGCACCCCAATTGTTGAACCAGTCCCTCAGAGCAGATACATTGCCACTTAATTTGTGTCTACAAACGTCTTGAGGGCCACCACCCAGATCCGTCCATTTCCTCTTCCAGGTTATGGGCTGCACACTGCAGGAAAATTCAGCTGAAGAAAGGTAAGCTTCACCTGGGCATTCAGCAGCAGTTCAAGATGATGTCTCATCCCTGTGGCCATCTCCCTGCCCCAACTACTGCTGCACCTGCTGACCTCGAACTGTAACTCTGCACCAGATAAGAATACTTTATTCTCACTGAAGCTGAGAAGACCTTTTAGGAAGCAGCATTATGGGCCTTGCAGTCTCTGGCTTTGATAGTGTGCCATTTAATATTTAGAATAGTGCCCCATAGTCCAGGACCATCTGCACACTTTTTCACCCTAAAAAGAGCACCCTAATATAGACTTAAGTAACGATCATTTGCGATGTCCTCTCAAGCTGGTACTAAAACATGTGTTTTAAGAATCTGAGTAGAAGCAACATGCTGTGAGTCTAGGAAGGTGAACATTTGGTGGGGGGGACAGCTATGGAGCACATTCACAACTCTGTCCTGCTCTATTCTGGTCTTTTGTAGATAACTCTTCCACACAAGTGTACAACTACCAGCCCTGTGACCACCCAGATCGGCCCTGTGATAGCACCTGCCCCTGCATCATGACTCAGAACTTCTGTGAGAAGTTCTGCCAGTGTAACCCGGACTGTAAGACCTCCATCTTTTTCCCTTCACTGTCCCAGACCAGGTCGCCACCAAGTATCAACGGTTTCCCCTCCTTCCTCCCATACCCTGTGCTCCTAAGGGCATTCTTCTTTCCTCTTTGCTATATTTTAGGCATTCTGCAGAGGAAACAAGATATTTAAGATGTGGAAAAGTTAGAAAAAAAAATTAACCAAAACCATAAGCTCTAAAGCAATAGAAATCATATCTTCTCCCTAACTTTACCTTCCAGGGAAGAATTAAGAAACCTAAGAGGGAATGAAATTACAGTCTCCCACTTTGTTCCTCAGGGGATGTGGAAAGCCAAACTCATCTTTTAAAAAAAAAGTTCAGGCTACGATTCTGTTTCTTTAGTTTAATGTCTGATGTTTTAATATCAGGGGAGGCGGGCGGAGGGGTCTGGATGCCTGCAGAAGGTAGAGGGAAGCTAAAAAGTCTTTTCTTTGAAAAGGGCTTTTCTTCAGCCACCTTGCCCTTCCCCACTCAAAGCTGAGGAGTTTGGTGGTAACACAGGGCCTGCAGAATGTGGTGCCCAGGCACTTGTATAAATGCACCCTAAACCACAGCAGATATCAATCTTAGCCACAGCAGAGAGGTACTTGTTCTAGGGAGGTTAGAGGGTGGGAGGAGGACGGGTTTAGAACGGATATATTCTGTTCTCAAAATGATACTTGTTTTGATGGTGAGGGTTTACCAGTGAAAAGCACTGATTTCATTTTCTGTAGGACAGTATCTACCTCTTTTCTAATGAGGAGGGGAGGGTACTTTTGGGGAATCTTTTAGAAACATATCTTCTCAACGGTCAGACTGGTTTTCTTTGACTCATGGACTTGAATGTTGGAGTCACTCCCTTTTCTCTGGGGAAAAGCCCAAGTGCATGCTTGTCGAAGGAAGCTTTCCTACTTTTGCCACCTCTACTTAGATAAGTAACATTTTTCTCTGCTGCTCCTCAGTCAAATGACAGCCCCATGTAGCCTGCTGCTTCTAACCTTCATTGGTCTTCCCGCTCAGGTCAGAATCGCTTTCCTGGCTGTCGCTGTAAGACCCAGTGCAACACCAAACAGTGTCCTTGCTACCTGGCAGTGCGAGAGTGTGACCCCGACCTGTGCCTCACCTGTGGGGCCTCCGAGCACTGGGACTGCAAGGTGGTTTCCTGTAAAAACTGCAGCATTCAGCGTGGCCTCAAGAAGGTGAGGACTTAGGGCTAGTGGGAAAGAAGAAATTGTATCTGGGACCTTACCTTTCCATACATTCCAGGGAGGTTTTATACATGAAACTAAACCAAAAACACCCCACTGCTGTGGAGTTGATTTCAGGTTCAAGCAACTCCCTAGGACAGGGCAGAACTGCTTTATAGGGTTTCTGAGGCTGTGGGAGAAGGATGGGCAATCTGCTCCTGTGTGAGTAACTGCCTCTGAAAACCCACCAGAGAGCCAGCTATGGGTCAGCTCTGACTTGATGGTACACAACACCAATCTATTCCACAGACCCACACCTTCTCCCATGAGTAGCTGGTAGGTTCAAATTTTTGGTTAGTCATATGTTTAACTACTACGCCACCGTGTTTCCTTTTGTACGTGAAAACGGTGTTCAGTTCTGAGAGACAGGCATTTTCTGATTTTACAAACTCCTTTGACCCAGTGAGGGGTTAGCTCCTTATAGGTACTACGAAGGTACTGGCTCGTTGAACTGGCCAGATAGAAGAGCAGGGAGGCAGCAATATCATTGATGTTGGTTATTTGTACTCCACAGACAGCAGTGAATTTCCATGGACTTGGCTCTCAGAGGCCCCTGAGTTGAGAGGAAGGGGTGTCGTGTTTCTTTTCACCACCTCCTTCCCCCCGCTTACACCAGAACAGAATGACTTAGATTTTTTTCTGTTTTCAGATCCTCTTAATAGTTACTAGTTCTTTCTACTCTGTTCCTTCCCACTACCCCATGTGTGTATATATTTAGCATACATACCCCCTCACTCACAGGCTCTATAGTCTGAGGTCTGGCTCTCCCTTCCCCAGCACCTGTTACTGGCCCCCTCAGATGTGGCCGGATGGGGCACCTTCATTAAAGAGTCTGTGCAGAAGAACGAATTCATTTCTGAATATTGTGGTGAGGTGAGTGCTGTAAGTTTGGCCCGCATTCTTACTGTGGGGACACTGATGAGAAAGCCTGATTTTCTGTGGACCAGGCTGCTGTGAATTGGTCTCTAAATCATTTGGATGAGTTCTCAGGTGGCTTCTCTGGGGGTTCCCACAGAATGCTTTGCAGTCCTGAACAAACCACTGTTCATCAGCTCTTTGACAGTTCAGCCCACACATGGAAGGGTGAGGGGCTCTGTTCAGCTTTAGTACTGGGCCATCTGGGTGATGATGGGAACAAAATAAGCTGAGGTCTCTCTCTTGCAAATCTCATGAACTCAGGAAGCACCTATATGTGTTCCTGTCCCCTCAACCCCCAGACTTTTCTAGGGGCAGAGTTCTAGGCCATGTGCTGTTAACCTGATATACCCTATTTATTTTTTATTTATCAAGCTCATCTCCCAGGATGAGGCTGATCGGCGAGGGAAGGTCTATGACAAATACATGTCCAGCTTCCTCTTCAACCTCAACAATGGTATGGTGTCTCTCTTGTCATAGGATGGAATTTACCTTGTTTTTCTGCCAAATTACAGTTGCTGCAGTTCTGGTTCACATCAGCTTGGAATTTTCCAACAGTTACACAGAGCTAGGGCATGAACTAGAACTCAGGCGAGGCATGCCTCAGTTCACTTGTTTTGGGAAAACTTTTTGGGGTTGTACTTGCAGTGAGAGCACTGAGCACAGATACATCAGAAGTCTCAGTACTCTGTAGAGAGGATAGGGGTCCTCCAGTGGACCCTCAGAGGGGGTACACCCATGCAAAGCTGGACCATCATTCTGCATTCTCTGCTCTTCAAAATGACTGTCAGCTGGAGTTGCTTCTATTTCTAGGAACTGTGCTTAAGTTCATGCTAAAGAAACTGTGGGCGTTACCTAATATGCTCTTCATCATTGATTTATGTTCTATAGATTTTGTAGTGGATGCTACCCGGAAAGGCAACAAAATTCGATTTGCAAACCATTCTGTGAACCCCAACTGTTATGCCAAAGGTGAGTCCCACCGATGCCTCATTTACTGTGATTTCTCTCCCTCATTCAACCTTTCCCCCGCAGAACTGAACTATTTTTTTTCTAAAGCAAGTCATGATTTATATCTGAAACCTTTTTAGTCCCCTCTTTCTCAGTTTTATAATCAACTTTTTTCACTGAGTACATGATGAACATTTCCCCTAAACATAACTCTTTTTAAGGATAATTCTTCCCCGTATCACTAACCAAAGTAACATATTTATTAATGGCATGAGGGTAACTACCTTCCTGACAGTTTTCTAATTGAGCTTAATCTGTTTTTCTCCTGAGCATAAGGAGAAAAATTAGCCCTGACTCTCCTGAGGGATCAGAGGGATTGATTGGGGTTAACCAAGACTCTAGCCTTATGTCTTGCACCTTTGCAGTGGTCATGGTGAATGGGGATCATCGGATTGGAATCTTTGCCAAGAGGGCAATTCAAGCTGGTGAAGAGCTCTTCTTTGATTACAGGTAAAGCAGCCAGTGATGCTCCACAGAGATGGCCTTAAAGGGGTGGCTGTCAGAATTGACTTGGGGAATTTAAGGTAGAAGATAGGACCAAAGAGAGGGTTTTACAGTTTTAGGTAATTGCTTTGTTCTCGTTTCCAGTGCCTTGCCTCTGAAGTGGCAGCATTGTAAACAGTTGTTAGGGAGGGAGAAGGAAGTGAAATGAGAAGGGATCCCATATTTTCCATAACAAAACCTTGGTAGTAATCTCGTTCCTTCTCCCTGCTCTGGAACAGGTACAGCCAAGCTGATGCCCTCAAGTACGTGGGGATTGAGAGGGAGACGGATGTCCTTTAGCCCTCCTGGACCCCACGCCAGTGCTTATGGTAGCGGCACTGTCTTTGCTTTCATGCACACACCACTGCTGCTCGACATTCCTGCACTATGTGTCTCCCACACCAAGAACACCCCACCCCCACCCCATCCCTCTGTAGTGAGGCTCAAGCTGTGTCTAGTGTAGACAGAACTGTCTCAGTTAAAAGAGAGACACAGGCAGCTAGGGCTTGGCTCCCAGGAGAGAGAGTTGCCGAAGCCAGAAACTGTACCTCAGGAGAGTTCACAGGCTGGGGAGTGGATGGTGTATGCTTGATCTCTGTGGGCCTCAGGAAGAAACTTGGGCAATCCTAGCAAGCATTAGCCTGTCCTTCTGACATTTTAAGTCAAGGGTCCTTACATGACTTGGTTGCCAGGCACATCTCTCTCTGGTCCCAAGACCTTTATTTGACAGATTATGTACCTCCAGCCTGTGAGCAGGCTGGGTTAGAGACGGACGGGCTTTGTGGTCAGCACAGACTGCAGTTGGAAGGGAGGTGGGCCAACTTGCTACCTCTTCCTCATGGCAGGGTTTAAGTGAAAGAGTGTGAGTTCTAAGTACACTGAGCTTCAAGGCTACGAAAAGAAGAGCTAAGTGCCACCCACCATGGGTAGAGGGGGAAACCAGCCTGGCAGTAGTTAAACTGCCAAACTTGAGGCCAAGAGGCAATGAGAAAGGTTTCTCTGTCTGCTTTGGAGATGGGTGGATAAGTGCTTTCAGATTCTCAGAAGCAGGTGCCAGCGCCCTCTCACCTCCTTCCGGGTCTGGCTTAGCAGCTTCTGCTTAAAGAGGCATTAAGCTGCTTCTGAAGAAGGGGTTGTTTTGGTTTGTTTTTATTTTGGCAGGGGGAGGGGTGCGCCTAGCAAAAGAGTGTGAGCACGCTGATGCCCCGGATGAGTAGTCTTTTTTGAGCCTTCCCTTCGCCGTTTGTCCGAAGGGACCACACTCTTGCTTATCTTCAGGGTAGTTGAGCCCTGGCCTAGACCAGGGAGGGAAAAGATTGTTGATATAATTTACTTTCCTGTCTGTGGCACCTGCTGTTTAGCCAGGGTGAGTTGGCAATATAAGTGTTTGGAGGTGGGTAAGGGGTTACCAAATTGCATGTGGCATAGGATGGCATCACACCTGTAGTGCAGTGTGAGAAGCAGGCTGATCACCTGTTCCAGGCTGTGGCGCCATTCTCTCTGGGATTCATGCAGAGCAAAGCACTTTACTATTTCTTTTAGAAGGTCTAGAGATGCAGGTGGAGCTTGAGCTAATGTCTAGGGGCCCCAGTTCAAACCCTACTCCTGAAAGAGGCAGAGGAGTAAGGGTGGAAGATTCTTTGCCAGTTCTGTCTCATCTCTCTGGGGAGGCAAGAGGAGCTGGCTTGCCACAAAAGAATTTAGTAAGACTGGAGCCAACAAGAGCTGCCTATGTCCACAGCTGGTGTGCTGAGCTTGTGAGGAATAAGGTGCACTGGGCTGCGGTGGAAAGGACTTAAGCAGTACAGACTGGTCTGGGGAATACTGGATTAGAGAGAGGGCTCTCCCTCCCCTATGGGAACCAGACCCTCTCTTTCCCTAATCTATGCTGACCATTTCTTCCCTCCAATCTCTCTCATGAAGCAAGGAGTAGACTCTGTCTCCCCTGGGCTAACTCCTAGGAACTTCAGTGGGACTCACACACACATTCACACACTCATCCATCACTTTTGTGGGCGCATGTGTGCCCTGTACTCATTATACACCCTACCAGCCCCGTCTCCCCACCTCATTGGTTGATCCCCAGCCCTGACTCTTAACCCTACTCCCGTGGTGGTTTGTGTGTACTGGGGACTCCTTCAAACTGGACTGTGGGTCTGAATCGCTCATAAATCACAGAGACAAATACAGGAGAAGTTAGGCCTGTCTGAAACACTAGGACCTGGCCAGGAAAAATAGGAGAAAATACCCAGCTTTTGAGAGGCCAGCCTGACCCACCCTCCTCTCGGTGCAGAATCCTTGTGGTCGGCCCCGCCTTCCCCTGTCTCAGACCATTAATACTCTTGTTTCTCTAGCCCTTCTGTCCTTGATCTTAAATGATGGGTCTCGACCCAGCCATGACATGCAATGATGGAAGGGAGTAAGATGGTGGTCTGGGGTGGGAGAGGCTGGTGTATGTGTGGCTTTATTGCCAGTGAATTTCACGCACTTTAAAGTCCTGTGGCTTGTGACCTCTTATCCGAAATAAAATGGTAGAATCCATTTTGGCAAGTTGTGTGCTGTCTGCTTTGGGGCCAGAAGGATCCAAGGATAATAGTATGCAGGCACCTCCACTCAGGTATTAGCACTGTATTCTCCTTTGCCCCCTAAAATCAGAGGTTGGACGATGTGCAGCCAAGAAATTGTGATAGGTGAGGAGAGTTGGGAGGCTCATAAGATCAATTCATGCAGGCCCCTGGCAGGTGACTGGGGTTCTGAGGGCTCATCGAGAAATTCCTGAGTCTTCGGGTGAGTTCCCAGAGAGCCATCCCACTTGCCCCCTAAACACGACCCAGCCACCACACACAGACTGGAGTTCTGCCACTCTGCCTTTATTGGAACAGCTCCCAGTCTGAAAGCTCAGGAGGCTGAGCCCTGTTCAGATGGAAGATCCAGACTGGGCTGGATGAGGGACCAGTGGAATGCACGACACTTCCAGCACAGGAGAGCAGACAACAGACTGTGAGCACAGCACAGCACAGCACAGGACAGTCATTTCTTTTTTTCTTTTATATATAAACTGATAATTAAAAAATTAGAATATTATATAGAGTTTCTCTAGAGAGAGACTTTGCAACAAAAAATATATATAAAGAATATGACCTCCTGGGCAAATAAAGCAGCATCTCTGAGCGGAGGAAAGAGGACTCCTCATGCATTGGAGAGGGGGCCAAGCCTTTGGACAGGCACCAAGGCTATTGCATATCTTGAAAGAGGGTGGAAGAGTTAAGGGCTGGCTAGTTAGCGTGTCTGCATTATTTCTCTACATTGCAAGTGTCTTGTTTATGGCTTTGGCTAAAGCATGTGAAGCAGCGGAGGTACTAAAGTGCTAAACTGAGGCCTCTTGGTCTCTGTGTTAAATAAAAAGAGAGAGGGCATGGGGGTAGGGAACAGTATTGAAGCCTTCCCCAACCCCCAGCTGAGTAGAAGCAGATGGAAGACATTCTGCAGGGTAGAGGGGAGGCTGGGGGATATGATTTAGCAGCCTCCTCCCCCCTTACCCTGTGCATCCCTGCAATTCCACACATCTGTCCCTGCTGAGATTATATATTTGAAGGGAGATAGTTAATCTCCCCTACACTCTGTTGTTAATCCCTGGCAGCAGCTGGGAGAGACATAGCAGGGAAGGCCTTCTCCTTTGGGGCAGCCAAATAGCCAGGAGCCTGGGAAAACAGGGATGGGCAGGGCATTGGTTTAGGCAGTGAGGCTTAGCCACTCCCTTTGGTCCCATCTGTAGTTCTGCCAACTACACATGGCAGAAGGGGTATCCACTGGATGGGCAGAGCCAGCTAAAAGGAGCCAAATGTCCCTGACAGGGTAGGATGGAGGCAGGAATGGGGAAACTCGGGGGAGATGAACTTGGTCCCTGAAGCCCTTCTGATTCATTCAGACCTGGACTCTTCCAGGATCTGGGGTAAATTCTGGTCCCGGGGTGCCGAAGCTGGGGCTGGAGCTGGAGCTGGGGCTGGGGCTGGGGTGGGGGCTGGGGTGGGGGCTGGGGCCTGGACAGAGCCTGAAGTAGGCAGAGGAGGTTTACTGCCAGGTTGGTAATCATGGGTGGCCTTGGGCTCATTGGTGTGGTAGGAGCCCTTGTAGCGATGGTTTTGCAGATAGAAGAGCACCAACATTCCCACCAGCCCCAGCAGCAGAAAGGCCACCAAAACTGGAGGAAAGAGAAGAACAAGTCAGGGAAGATCCTTGATGGTTAACTACATACAGACATATGGCGTACACTGTTGTCCAGCTCAACCGCTCAGCCACCTCAGGCTATTCCTCAGTCCCTGGCAAGTCCAGCTCCTCACTTAACTATCCCTGCCACCTTCTATTTCTTATATTCTACTTCCAAACCCCTAATAAGTGTCTTGTCTCTCTCATTGCCATCAAGTAGGAACTGACTCATAGCTGACCCTCTAGAGGGTTCCTCAGAAAATGAAAATTACACAGAGAAGATTGTCCATTTTTTTTCTTTGGTGCCCCTGGTGGATTCAGGCTGCCAAAGAGGCATGACCTTTGTTGTATCAGCACAAGACTCTACAGACAGTGCCAGAAGAGCTCCCTGTATCCCCCGGAGTCACTCTAGTAGTTACCCCAATTCCTCATCTCTCCAGATCACCACAGCCCCATTTTCTTATTCTCTGACTACAGTCCTCTTTTGGTTCTGCATTACAATCAAAAGTTTACAGCATCCTTATTTATAATATCCAGCTTTCTAAGTTATCATAATTTCATACTACCTTAGACCACATCACTGTCATACATCTAATACCTTCCCCATCTCTCAGCCCAGAGGGTAAGGGGCAGGAAGGGAGCACAGGTCAAAGTAGAAGAGATCAGATCGTCACTGCTACTCACAGCCTAGAAGTATGGCAACCCAGCCATCATCATGGTAGTATGGGAAGTCTGAAGAGGAAAGAACACCAGTCAGAGGACACCTCTCCCACATGAAGAAATCATGTCCCTTCCTTGCCATCCCTCCCTCCTCTCTTCTGTGTCCCAAGGGTTTACCTGGGGGTAGGTACCAGGGATCAAGTTCTGGTGGCACCTCTGAGAAAAGACGTGGCATGGCTCCACAGTTAGACTCTGACAGTTCTCCCTGAACTCGAAGAGCCTCTGAAAGTTCAGCTGTCATGGGTCGAGGGCTTCGAAAGTGGGTCTTTAGAGGAGCCACATTGTTGAATCGAACACCAGACAGGCAGCCTGAGAAACCTGGTGTGTTGTAGCGCTGGATCTCGGGGTCAATTACTCCCGTCTCTGAGAGAGAGGCAGGCCCAGACAGAAAAGGACTAGATTGCACAAGATTGCCCAGTATCCATGACCCCTGTTAGGATCCACAGGTTCCTTGTTCTTTTTTGTCACCACCTTTACTGCCATGCCCAGTCCAAGTCTGTCAGTCTCAAGGCTCTAAGGACTTTGCTTATAACTCTTATTTGAAACTCACCATCACCCACAGCTTACCCATTACACGCCCTAGGTACAAGGCCTTGGGTGAATCCAATTGACTGTCCACCAGCAGTGAGAACTTCTGTTCTGTCAATGGGAAGTAGTCTACCTAAGGTAGGGACGGGCAGGGGACGAAGGAAAGAGGCTCTGAGGCTCATATTGGCAAGGCCACAAGTACCTTCCTTCTGTCTAAGCTGGTGGTGAGGTTAGGGTGTGTCCTAGCTCAAGCCTAAATTGGCAGCCCCTGGGAAATTTTGAGGGAAAAACCCCAACCCAACCTGGATTTGAGCCCTGGCTGTTCTGTTGTATTGTTGATGTGTGCTGTCGAGTTGGAACTAGTCCATAGCTGACCCTCCAGCAGGTTTTCAGAGGTAATCACACAAGAGGAGATTGTCCATCTTTCTCCAACTAAGCAGCTGGTAGATTTAAACCACGTGCCTTTAGGTTGGCAGTGCAGCTCGTTACCACTAGGCTACCAGAGCAGCCTATTAGTGGTTTGATACTGAGAGAATCACAGAGTATAAAATGGAGGTAATTATGAACACCTCCACATATAGAAGGACCTAACAGGCGATTGAGAAGGTCATGTGAAGTAATACACATGAAGATCCTCTGTAGGTACTATACAAATATTTGGTATTTTCCTGAGAGCTAGAATGTAACTCATGAGAGCATTACCTGAGTTAGTGACTTTCCTCCACACGTACCTGGATGAAGAGTGTGCGGTAGACCCTAGTGATGTTGACACTGTGGGGCTGGCCGTCAGTCACCGGTCGAGTCGTTAGCTGGTACACATAAGGACTGGTGCCCAGCTGATACCGCAGCTGCAGGGTCCCTGTGGAGTGGGAGGAGAAAGAGGGACTCTCCCCCAACTCCCACAATCCCCATCTCATAAGAGTGCAGGGGTCCTTGTAATAGTGAATCAGCAGTTAGGAGATTGAGGACATGCCAGAGACAGTGGCATTGAGAAAAAATGACCATGGGGGTGGGAAGGCTTACCATCTTCCTTGATGAGCACCGCCATGTAGTCCCGCACAAAGGAGCTGACGTAGAGCAGGACAGCAGGAGCGGAGCTGGTGCTGAAGCTAAAGGACACTTCCTCTCCAGTAACATTGTAGACAGGCCCCCGGTAACCGGGCACCGGCCGGCCTGGCCGGGGGTATTCAGGCAGGCGGTACCCAGGGCCATGGTAGCCAGGCACGTAGCCAGGAGTATCGTAGCCTGGGATGTAGCCAGGCTCATAGCCCGGCACTGGCCGGCTCAGCATGTGGGAAAACTCCTTGGCTGCAGAGCGAAGTGCCGACTGTAGGTTATAGCGCATCCAGGTGCCAGGCTCAAAGAAGCCGCCGATATCTGAAGGTGGCAAGGTCAGAGCTCTCAGACTCCTCATCCCCAAACTCCGAGGTTTTATACATCTCTCTCTTACACACATACTCTCCTACCCAGAGACATGTCTTCAGTTTTTGCTACCTGCGCTCACTGTGGTTTCCTTTGAGCCCCTCTGCATTTTACAAATGGGAATTGAGATTTCAGAATGGTCGGTGACTTGCCCCAGGATGCAGAAAAAAAAATACAGAATCCGAATGTCCAATATGCTTGCCAGCACTCATCTTTCCAAACCAGGCCCAAAAACCTCTCCTTCCATGAGTCCCTGTATCTCCCTAAGGCACCAGACTCCTCCTACCACTAGTCTCTATTCCCATACATCGCCGTGGATCTAGGCCAGTCTTAGGGAGGAGTCTCAGTATGTGTGGAGAATTTTGTAAAATGTCAAGGCTCCCTTGACCAAGAATTTGTATAGTATACATGTTCAGGAGCATGGAAATGGTCAGATAAGAAACAACAAAGAGTATTGTGCAGCCTGAAGTGGATTTCTCTCCAAGGGAGGTAAGCACTGTGACCCTGGTGATGGGAAGACGGAGAAGATGCTTGCTATTGAAGTTATTCTAGCACCAGTGAGCTCCACCATCCTTCCTCATCCCACTTCATGCTTTTAGAGTGGTCCAGCATCTTTAACTGCTTGACCCCTCAGCTCTGAGCTCAGGAACTCACAACTTTTTGTTGTTGTACACCGTTGAGTTGGAACCCACCCATAGCTGACGCTCTGAGGGTTTTCAGAGGCAGTTAATCACACAGGAGGAGACTGCCCATTTTTCTCTTGCAGGGTAGCTGATGGATTCAAACCAGCTGCCTTTGTGATTGCAGTGCAGCTTCTTGCCACTAGGCCACCAGGACTACCTAATGCTAACTTTTCTTCCTCCTCCCTTCCTTTCTCTTCCCCATGTCCCATGATGCTCAATGGCTTTCTGTACCCCCAGTAACCACAGCACTGACCATGGTTGCAGTATGGTCCATCAAAAGCTGTAAGGTCACAGTCACATGTGTAGTAGCTATAACGCTCCACGCAGCGGCCTCCATGGAAACAGGGAAAGCGGGGGTGGGCACAGTGGCCCGTGCAGTTGGGTGATGTACCCTCAGAGGCATTGGCACGGCCTTCTAGATTCAGAGTCACCCCATTCAGACGCATGGCCCTCAAGCAACCGACGAAAGGACGCCTCTTCATTTCTGCAGATCCTGGGAAGGGAAGTTAAGATATAAGGGTAGAATCAGAGACAGAAATAAGAACTAGAAGGGACCCAGGAGGATAAACAAGTGGAATAGGAGATTAGGGACTAGAGAGGAAAAGTAGGACCTAGGGGACCGAAGAGATGGGAACCCTGGAAGCAAGGAGAGCAGCCTTGAGTGGGTGGGAAGGAAAGGAAGCTTTCACCCTGCCTCTAGGTTGTTGGCTCACCGACATAGAGGGGCTGGTCATACTCTAGCCAGATGTAAGTCTGCAGGGGCATTGGCCGCAGCACCCAGGGCCGATGGTCCACGCGGAGCCGGGCTTGCTTCACGTTGATTTCAGCCCGGACCAGGTGCCATTCATCATCATTGAACTCAAAGTCATCTGAGTGCACTGTCAGATTCTCATCCCCATTCCCCACGTCGAAAGCGAAGACCACATCCCGGGATGCTGGACAATGAGGGGATAGTTGAGGGAGGACTCTGACCACCAAGATCCTTTGTAGATTTCCTCCCTCCCTCAATACACTAATTCTTTGGAGCTCCATGAGTGTCCTTCCATTTTATCTAGCTAGAGCCTGGGGCCAAAGCCATAAATTGTTTAAAGTTACATGAACTTGGTACTTCCTAAATCAGCCTATCCCTGGATCCCAGCCCCTCCTCTCAGGTTAAAAACAGAGCTAGTGAGATCTGGGAGAGACCTCAAGAGTCCAGCTTCATTATTCATAAATAAAGGACCTAACTCTAGAGAAGCAAAGTGAGTGGGCAAGGGTCCATAGGGAGCTATCAAGACAGAGCTAGTTCTACTGTTGTTATGTGCTATTGAGTCAGTTCTGACTCATAGCTGACCCTCCAGCAGGTTTTCAGAGACTCTAAATTGCTCTGAACTTATACTTTACTGCCTCTGAAAATCTGCTGGAGAGTCAGCTATGAGTTAGTTCCAACTTGACTGCACATAACAACAAATTGCCCTAACAAAAACAAACCAACAAGAAAAAGCTCAAGTGCTGCTGTCAAGAACCTCTTCAAAGTACTAAGGAACAATTATATTAGTTAGAGACTTAAGGTTCAGTGATTCAGGCTATGGTTTTTTCAGTTACTTGCTATGCTTCTCAAAGCTGGACAATGAGGATGACAGGAGAATTAATGCCTTTAATTTGTAGTGTTGGAGAAGATTTCTGAATATCCCATAGACATAGCAAAAGAACAAACAGGTATGTCTTAAAGAAAATGCAACCACAGTGCTCCATAGAGGCAAGGATGGCAAAGCTTCATTGCACATGCTTTAGGCATGTTGTTAGGAGGCGCTATTCCTCGGGAAAGGACATAATGCTTGTAAAGGTGGAGGTCCGATAAAGAGAAGACCCTCCACCAAACGGATGTTAATTGACTGCAGCAGTGGGCTCAAGATTTCAAAAATAATGATGGCCAAAATAGGGCAGAGTTCAGATCCATTGTTCATAGGGTCACAATGGGTAGTACTCGACAGCACCTAACAATAGCAACAACGAATCCAGACTTTATGGGTCCTTGGAGCCTGGGTGAACCCCTATAACTAATGACATGAAACCATCTTTAAGGGGAAAATATCCTGAAGTCTTCTTAAAACCAGATAATAGGTTAGCTTAACTAATTAAAACAAAAAAACCCAACAACTCAGTTTGGAGCATTGTGCTCATATAAAAACAATCTATATGGAAACACTGGCCTGGATGTGTTCACTAAGTTGTGCCAAGAAACCTGGAGAATAGCCAGCTGGCCCACTGACTGGAAAAGATCGATATTTATTCCCATCCCAAAGAAAGGTGACCCAACAGAGTGTGGAAATTATCGAACAATATCATTGATATCACATACAAGCAAGATTCTGCTGAAAATTATCCAAAAACGTTTGAAACAATATGTCAACAGAGAACTGCCAGATGTGCAGGCTGGATTTAGAAGAGGTCGTGGTACTAGGGATATTATAGCTAATGTTAGATGGATCTTAACAGAAAGCAAAGAATACCAGAAGAATGTCTATCTGTGCCTCATTGACTATGCAAAGGCTTTTGACTGTGTGGATCACAACAAGCTGTGGCTGACTCTGAGAAGAATGGGAATCCCAGAACATTTGATTGTGGGAGGGTGGAGGGACGGCGCAGGAGGGGAAGGCCCTCTATGAGGTGGATTGATTCAGTGACTGGGATACTCAGGATGGGAGTGTTGGAGACTGTGCGATTGGCACAGGACAGAGCAGAGTTTAGGGCTGTTGTACATAAGGTCACTATGAGTCGCAAGCGACTCGGCACATAACAATAACAACAACAATGCGAAACTTATACTAGGACCAAGAGGCAGTTGTCAGAACAGAGCAAGGAAACACTACATGGTTCAGAATCAAGAAGGGGGTTCTTCAGGGATGTATTCTGTCTCCATACCTTTTCAATCTGTATGCAGAACAGATCATCTGAGATGCTGGGCTGTATGAAGAGGAATGTGGCATCAGGATTGGTGGAAGAATCATCAACAACCTGTGTTATGCAGATGACACAACTCTGCTTGCTGAAACTGAGGAGGACCTGAAGCGCTTCCTGCAGAAGATCAAGGACTACAGCCTCCTAGATGGACTAAAGCTCAACATCAAGAAAACAAAGATTCTAACCACTGGGCCAATTGGCAGCATCAGTATGGATGGTGAAGAGATTGAGATAGTTAACAGTTTTAGTTTACTTGGCTCCACAGTCAACGCTCTTGGTAAAGAGCAGCCAGGAAATCAAGAGACGAATTGCATTGGGAAAGTCGGCTGTGAGAGACTTCTCGAGTACTGAAGAGCAACGATATCAGGCTGGAGACTAAGGTGCGCCTGATCCGGGCTGTAGTCTTTGCAATTACGTGCTATGCATCAGAGAGTTGGACAGTGACTAGGGTTGATAGAGAATTGATGCCTTTGAGCTGTGGTGCTGGAGAAGAGTGTTGAATATACCATGGACTGCTAGGAGAACAAACAGGTTTGTCCTGGAGAGGGTGAAGCCAGAATGTTCCCTGGAGTCAAGGATTCTGAAGCTTTGTCTGACATATTTTGGGCATGTTGCAAGGAGGGACTGGTCCTTGGAGAGGGACATCATGTTTGGCAGAGTGGAGGGGCGGCGAAGGAGAGGAAGACCTTTGATGAGATGGATCGATTCTGTGACTGGAATGGTGGGAATAAGTGCGTTTGAGATGGCTAGGTTGGCACAGGATAGAAGAATGTATAGAGCTCTTGTACATAGGGTCACTATGAGTCACAAGCGACTCGATGGCACATAACAAAAACATATGGAAACAAATTAACAGCAACCTGAAAGATCAAACAGGAAGCTTAACAGGTAGTGAATGTGTTTTCATAAGGAAGGAACTATTTGAAAAGGGACCATGAAAGAGATTGTTCAGCTTGAATGAAGTCAGCGTCACTGAAGGGCCCTCGTGGACATCATTGAGGCTGTGTGTTTTGCTGTGTATGTTCTCAACAAGTAAACAAAAATAAATATACAAAAGGGTTGGGGGTGGGGAGGGCAGGAGTTAGCTCTGGAACTTAAAGTCTGCTTTCCATGCAGCGTTTTAAGGTACCTGTCCTTGTCCCTCACCCACCCCATGACTCCCTAGTACTCCTTCATCTGCCCCATGTCCCTCCCGGTGTCTGCTCACTGTTAAGTTCCACTCGCACGTAAGGTCGGTTCCACTGGCAGAAAGGGCCTGCTACGTTCTCTAGGAAGACTCCTGACAAAGCCGAGGTCCTGAAGTAGAAGGAGACATCAAGGCTGTGGTTGGCGCGGATTGGGGGAAAGCGAAGTGTGGTTCCGGTGTGGAAGGAGATGGTGTTCCAGGAGTTGCCTACAAAACCAGATGGAAGAAGACCTTGTTGGAAGGGCTGGAGGGTAAAGGGGCAAAGGAGCCTCAGGCGCGCTGAGGGAGGTAGGGGATACATAATGATAAGGAAGGCCCACGTCAAGGGGAAACTGGGGAATGCAGTGCAGGAGAGAGTAGGTATGAAGGCTATTATCACATCAGGGGCTGGGTGTCAGACAGTGAGTCTTAGAGACCCTCAGTGGGACAGGTGACCTAGATTTTGGAAACTGGAGAGCCGCTCCAGGAAGGCACAGAAAAGGGGTCTGCCACTCACGATCGCCATAGCAGCGCAGAGGCCTCAGGAAGAACTGGGCCTCGGAATTGGAGCGGTTTGTATCCCCCACCACCACCTGGGTGACAGGCAGGTGATCCACAAAGGTCAGCAGTCCCTTGTCAGTTCTCCTGTGAGATGGAGGGCAGCGGGTCAGCTCTGTGGCTCCCCATGCCCTTGGAATCCAGAAAGCCCTCTTCCCTGACCTCCTCACCACTGGGGCTGGTCAGCATCACAGTTGCAGTGCAAAGCAGGGTCCACACAGCTCCGGTCCAGGCCACAGGCACAACGCTGTATCCCAGGCTGTGAGCCTCCCCAGTAGAAGTGCTGCTCCTCGTTTCGGCCCATCCAAAAGCTGTAAGGGTAGCCACCTGGGGAAGAGGTACAGGTTACCAGCTGCTCATGTTAGCTTCCAAGTTCCTACTTAGCCCTTCCAACCAGCCCTTCCAACCCATCTGGTTTCCTTCCCCTAGGCCTCCTGGTATCTCTTTTCATTCCCCACCTTCCCCTCCCCAACCCTAATCTCAACCTGCAGTGTTGAGAAGCCGGGAGTTGTAGCAGGAGAACTCTATCCACTGCTCGCAGTGCTGGGAAGCATTGGCCAGAGCACCGACTTCCTCCCAGGATGCATTCCAGTACTGGACAGCCCCCAGGAATGGCCGCTCCATGCTGGAACCTGTTACCCGGGTTGTCCACAGCCTGTCATGCCGCACAACTGTCCAGGCTCGGTTCTCTGGGACGGGAAGGGACAGAGCCTTGGCTTGAGATGACTTTCTCCAGCCATCTCCCTGCCCACCTCCACATCACTGCTGAAACTCAGAGGCAACACGTGGACAGAAGCCCAGCCTCAGGCCATCTGCTTTATAGCCTGGAGCTGAGACAGCTGGAATGGATCAGGAAGCTGGAATTCATCTGCAAGGCTAGGTTACAAATTCTTGGGTGTCTCCTTTCCCCTCTGCCCTCCTTTACCCCACCATACTTTAACTGTACTGGCCCTGTCCACCCCTCTCTCCTTTGCTATTCCCTCCATCCCTGCATTGCCTTGTCAGCTGCTGCTTCACCACCCACCCAGAAGAGCTCCTCACCTCGGATGTCACAGTACACTACAAATGGCTTCAGAGGACCGCTGCCATCGGGGTCAATGGTAAAGTTTCCAGAGTATTTCCCACTGAGCCGATAAGCCTCACAGGATTCCTTATACAATGCTGATAAGTAGTAGAGGAGGAGAAAGGCACTTAGAGGATGGGGGAGTCAGAAAGGCCAGCCCCGTCATCTCCAGCATCTCATAATCCCCAGCTCCCATCTGCTGACATCCCACAACCCTGCTGCCCCATACCCCGTGTGGCTTACGTTGGTGGCAGGTCTCCCCCTTGTAGCCTGTCAGCTCACAGTAGCAGATGAAGTCATCCCAGGACTGGTAGCAGCGCCCATCATGCTCACACATGTTAGGACTGCACCTAGGAAAGGGGTCATCCCCAAGGCAGGGCGCCTCATTGGGAGCCTGGGATTGAGATCTGTCCCCACGAGCTTCCCTCTCAGCCCCCAGGATCACAGGAACCTGGTAGGATACCATCACTCACCAACCGGCCAGGATATTTGACAGGTTCAAGTACCACTGTTCTCCTCTCCCGAGAAGAGGAAAATAGTGCCTGGCCTCCCTCCCCACCACCCATAAAAACTTCACAGGACCAAAAGCAGATGCCTCATTCCTATCCTGAGCATGTTTCTTTAAGGGAATGCATAAGAGTTGAGAGGTCAAGGAGTTATCTGTCCAGGCAGGGGGAGTAAGGAGCCAAGACAAGGAGGAAGGGGAGGATTAGAGAAATGTCACTCCCACTGGGAGACCATGGGGAAGGACTTTGGAGGGGTCACCACTGGTAAAGAGAGAAGCTTCCAGATACCTATCAGTGATACCACATGTGTCAAAGAGGACCTCAGCAAAGTGGCCAAGCCGCTGGAACTCCACCAGGGTTAAGTTGACCAGTTGACCATCCACCTTGAGTAGCTCCATGCAGCCGTGGAACGCTGTCTGGTTGGAGTGGCAGCCCCACCGACTGACTGGTTTAGGACAACCTAGAACAACCCCCGTGTGAGGTTCTCTCCAAGCAAGACCCCACAGAGCCTCCCCCAACCAAAGGAAAGCCAGACAAGTAAAAGGATCTGGCGCTAGAACCCAAGTATAGACAATGGCTGTGACTTTCCCGAGGCTCAGGACGGGAAAGAAGATTTGCGCGCTACTAAACTCTCCAGTTAGCATTTTCTAGGGAGCACTGGTGGCCTAGTGGCAAGAAGATGCATTACAATCGCAAAGGCACGCTGTTCAAATCTACTAGCTGCTCCAGAGGGAGAAGGATGGGCAGTGTCCTCCCATGGAATAAAGTTCTGAAAACCCATCGGAGCACCAGCTATAGGTCAGTTCTGACTCGGTGATACACAACAGGTAGATTTAGGTAGAACCTTACAACCCAGAGGCAAGGAGATTAGCCAGGTTGGTCTCCATTTACCTCCAAAGAAGTACGAGGTCCCCGTGCGGATCAGGAGGGGGTATGAGACCCTGACCTCTGCCCCCTCTACATCATCGATGCTGATGACTGCATGGTTTTCCTGAGCCACGAAATTCACCTCATGCCAGAAGCCATCATTAAGGCGATACCCTGGACAAGAAAAGAGGAAACTTCTGGAGGGGGGAGCAGTGACTAGAAGAATGGACAGCTGCATCCTCAGTCTGTACCCCAAGGGCAGTGGATATGACACTCATACCACACCCCACCCACTACACCACACACACATATTACTGCGCTGATCACACGGAGTGGTGACACCTCTGAGTATCTCTTCAACACTTAACAACCCCAGCAACGAACGGACAGAGTCCGCAGAGTCACGAGCAAATAATGAACAACTCCCGGGATTCTCCAGAACCGAGCACTGTTAGGACCCTGATGAGCTCTTCCCAATACTCTCAGCCCCAGGTCTGCTCTCCAGCCACTGGGACCACCACATCTCTCCTCCCCTTGGTATGGCAAGGCCTTGAAAAGGCCTACAAACTCCCGGATGGATCCTGCCCTGTCCTCCCAACACTGCCCCTTGCCCTCTCTCACCAGCAGCGAACTGAAGCTTCTTGCGGCCCGTCTGTGAGATGGACACGTTGACCTGCCCTTCGCTGAGCATTAGCTCCACGTGGCCCAGCCCATCCCCCAAGCTGGAGAACAACAGCAGCCCCGTAAGGTCCCAGGTGCGAAAGCGAAAGGACACAGCAAAGCGGCCACGGCGAGGGAATCCGGGCACTTGCACATAGTTGTGAGGGCCTCCGAAGTTGATGGGGTGCGGGACCGGGTCCAGGCAACGGAAGGCCACCTTACCCTGGGAGCGGAGACAAGGCCCCATCAGCACGTGGAGCCAGCGCACTGCCTTCTGCATGCAAAGTTGTGGCTCTTGCCTTGGCACGGGGCTCAATTTTCTCATTGGTCAAGACCTTTTCACCCTACTTCCACCGTGTTGGGAGGGTGGGGCAAGACCTTTCTCTCTTTGAAGCACCTCTACAGGTGTGAAAGCGTTCCCACTATTGCTATCCTATGTAGGGTTAGATGGGCTGGAAAAGTGGGTGAAGTAAAGCTCTGGGCCATTCCCTTCTGCTGTTTTCTCATCTATTCACCGAGGAGGTGGTTGGACCACCCCAGAGTTCAAATGGGGCTTTTTGTAGTCTGTGATACTCAGAGCTTCTATCTCTCTGGGGAAGAAGGTTTTTGTGTGCTTCCTTAGCTCTCTCCCCACTCTCTTTACTTCCCAGGTGTCCCTTGCCCACTGGCCTCAAAGGTGATCCGAGAGTGGCGTCGCACTGCCAAGTCAGCAATGTTGACTCGGTTGAAGATTATGTTTTCTATGCAGCCACGAAAATTATGCCGATAGCCAAGGTTCTTATGAGCTGCTCCCACCAGACCTCCGATGTACATCTGTGGGAAGTGAGGGTCAGGCTCGCGCGCGCGCACACACACATACACACACACACACACACACACACATTTCCTGTGTGTCCACACATAGGCTTTCAGAAGCACCTACCAGTGAAAACATTTTTCTCCACTGTCTACATTATAGCCTTAAACTTGCCCTTGAGGTCAGGGTTCATGCCCTGATCCCACCACAGACTGACATGAACAAATTATTTAATTTATTTGGCTCTCTTCTGATTGGGACCAAGTTCTTTCTCGACTATACAGCTGTGGAAGGTCCCAAAAGGGCCGTTTTCTCACCTTGTCTAATCCCCAGAACCCAGCTTTCTAGGCCTCATCTCAGTGGTTCTGAGATAGCACCTGGGAATTTAAATACAAAGAGTAACAACAAAAATCTGTGCCTTTCTGATAGCAGCAAGTTTGCCAGTCTCTGCTAGGAGACTTAGGAACTGAGAACATTCTTATTTTACCACTGAGAGTCAGAAGTTACAGCCCACCATAGGGACCCTCTCTGGGCTCACCTCATTGTCCAGGTTCAGTCTCTCAAAGTCCCCATTAAGCACAAAACGCTGCACATAGCCATCCAGAGTAAAGTTGGCATCACGGCCAAACCGGTCCACGCGCACATAATGCCAGTGCTGGTCATTGAGGACGCCTCCTGCTGTCATCGTCGTGTGGCCAGGCCTTGGCTGGATGGGGCTGCTGCCTGAGGGTGGGGTGGGTAGAGATAGACCTGGGGCTGAGAGAACCCCACCAAGGCTTCGCCCCCAGGTACAGCTGTTCAGAGGAGGTGACACAAAGCCTTGGAAAGCCCCAGAGGTGGGCATGTGTCTAAACCAGGAATGAGGTGGAGAATTTTGGAGAGTATGTGAGTAAGATAATTAATTAATTTCTTGTTGTTGTTTGCTGTGTATGGTAGAATCAGAACTGACCCATAGCTGACCCTCTGGAAGGTTTTCAGAGGCAGTTAATCGCATGGAAGAAGATTGCCCAGAGGCTCTGTTTTCCTATATGTGAAACTCAGGCTGTAAAAACTACTCCTGTGTACATCATGTGGATGTTATGGGAAAATAGAGATAAAAAAGAGGGAAAAAACCCCACCCAACCCCTCTATCTTAGTGATAGCCTTAGATTGATTCAGACCGGGGAGAAACTGAGTAAGGTTTAGGGAAATGTCTCGTCCCAGGTCACACGGCTATAATAGAGCTGAAACTGGACTCCATATCTCTGGATTCCAAGCCCCGCGCTTTGCTGCAGTGCGAAGGAGCAAAACAAAAGCCCAGGTAGCTCAGAAGGTACGGAAGGGGAAGGGGAGGCTGGGCGCGGCGAGGTGGCGGTGGCGCGCGGTGGCGCACGGTGGCGCCGGGGCCGCGTCCGCTGGCCGAGCTCACCCAGGCTCATGTGCAGCAGCAGGTGCGCCCCCTGCAGCTCTAGCGTCACGTAGTCGCCCTGTGCGCCCTCGGCGTGCAGCAGGAGCCCGTCCTTCTCCTCTGTCTTGAAACTGAAGGCGAACACATCCCACAGGCTCCGACTGACCCCTCGCGGGAAGCGGTAGGAGATGGCATCGTCTCCGTCAAAATAGAGCACGTCGGACCCTGCGGTGGGTGACATGGCAGGTGAGCTCAGGCGGGAAGACCGCGGGCTCCGGGGACCCCACACCCCACTACCATCCTTGCCCCTTACTGAAAGGGCAGCCGTAGATGCCGAGCCTCAGGCCTATCTTGCCGCGGGGGTTCCAGGCCAGGGGCACGATGCGGATATAACGCGCGTTAAAGTGGTAGTGCAGGTCGTGGCGGACCAATCCCGAGTCATTCATGTTACCGAAGAAGGTCTGGGAGGGGAAGGAGGATGAGTGACCCACCATTGTCCGCCCAACAGCCCCCACCCTACAGTGTCACATACAGCCAATGTGGACTTTGCAGACGTAAACACTCCATAGTCCTCCCTGCTGTCGTGGCTTTGGGAACACAGAACATAATTTTCTTGACCCAAAGAGTTCTAATCTGTCTAATATCCTAATCTGACCTCAATTCAAATGCCTCCTCTTTCTTTCGGGAAGCCCTCCCAGATTTCACCCTAAGATCTGTTAAGCCTAGTGATCACGGAATGTATTGTATACGTGTTAAAGTGACAGTCCAGCTGGAGTGAGTCCCCGGAATGATGGCACTACTTCTCACCGGTTCTCTAACCACCGCTGCTACCCATGCCCCTGGTGCCCAGCCCAGTGCACCTAGCAGAGAGGATAGCCCAAGTGTGCGTGCCAAGGGCCCAGAGTACCGCGTTATGCCCTCGCTGGTAGAAAGGCGTCCAACTGTCCACGCGGTCACCAAAGAGCAGCATGTAGCGTGTGACCCAGTCCCAGGAGTTGAAGGACCCCTGCGTGGCCACGGCTCGGATTCGGTGTTTCTTCATTAAATCTATCTGGAGCCAGGGATTCGGGTCCCCCTTCCTGGGCGACCATCCGCTTATGCCTGTAGAAGGGGGAAGGAGTTGCACCGTCAGCCCCCTTTCCTTGTCCACCTCCACCCCTAGGGAGTTCCCTACCCAGGGCCGCCAGTGCGCTCAGCTCACCGTGCAGCCGAGCGAAGCGTGGCGTGGTGAAAAGGCTGTAGTAGGAAGAGGCGCCCATCGAGCGCGCATACAGGGGCGCCACCAGCTCCTCGTTGCAACCGTCTGTAGCAGGAGAATGAGCACTTTGATCAGAGAAGCTGCATCCTCCTCCAGGCCCTTCTTTGCAAAGCCAGGCCCACTAAGCAGCCAGAGTTCCCTTTTCTGTATCCCCCAGGCACTGATCCAACCCAGCCTAAAGCCACCTACTGGATCAGTTACATCAATAGTTGTGTGTTCAGGGAAGGCTGTCTCCTTCTGGGAGATCCACAGGCTAGACCTATACCGACTCAATGCCCAAATCCTCCCTAGCTCAGTTCCTGCCCTGGGGCATATCAGCCTGGTAATATATATTACTCTTCTCAAACCAAATCCCAGACCTCAGCATCTTCCAAAATCTAAGTCAGCACAAGAGACTACTCAAGCCCCAGACAATGTCAGTCCCATTCCTCAGCCAGTAAACCCGGCCCCAGCCTCGCCCCTGCTCCTGCCAGCCCTAACACCATCACCAGAGTCATCTGTAACCTAGAGTTTGTCAGGATCATCAATTCCTGTTTAGACCCCAGTCCCAAACGCAGCTCCAGCCCCCAGCCCCAGGTGAACCCCAGAGTCCATTCCCAGCCCTTGGCAAAACCTTCATGCTAGCCTGGGTCACTTGAACCATCCTCATCCCCAACTCGAACCTCAAACCCAGGCACCAGCACCTCCTTGGATCCCAACCCCAAGGCACTGCCCTCCTCGACTCCATCCTGGACTCCATCCTGCAAGCCGAGGCCGCGCGCGCGCCAGCCTCAGAGCTGCATTGCGGAGCGCGGGGGAGAGGCAGGAAAGGAGGAGGGCAAGCAGACGCGCGCCGGCCTGGAAGGGACCGCCGACCACCCAGCCGCAATGCGGTGCAGGACCCGCCCTGCAGGCTCTGGGCTCCGGGGCCCAACCTTGCCTGTATTCAAGCCCCGCACTCACAATAGTCCCAGCCCTGGACTCCAGGAACCGTGATGAGCAGGATGCAAAAAAGCCGGAGATGCATCGTGCAGAGCTGGAGAGTCCCAGGCATCTGTCACCAGCGCCCGGCTCTGGCTAGGGCTCCAGTTACGACGCCGGTTCCCAGTTGTTTCCTTGGGGTTAGGGGCGACCACTGTCTCTCCCCCTTCCCTTCCCTCCCACCTCACTCCCCCAACTCTTTCTGTTTCTCTCCCTCTCTTTCTAAGGTTCTCAGCTCTCCGTTCTTCTCTCTCTCTTCTCCTTTCCACCTTCTCACCTCCCTTCCCCCCTCCCCAGTCTCTCCTGGCACGCGCGCTTTCCCAGACCCCGCGCAAGCGCGCGCCACAGCGCTGCTGTCAAAGGGCGGAGATGGGGGTGGGGAGAGAGCCTCCAGCCACCGGGAAATACCCCGACTGCTCCGATTGTCTGGAGGCTGATCTCATAAAGAGACAAGGGCTCGGGGATCCTGCAAAAGAAAAAAGGAGAAGGGAAACTGTGTCTGGAGATGGGCAGAAGGGCTAGTAAAATAACCTAGCATTTTTCTGAAGGCAGATTATATACCCCAGACCCTAAATTGAGCACCTTCCATACCTCTGTGGTTTCAGTATTTTTAGTTTACTCCACCTTGCAGATGAAAATAATAATAATTTTTTAAAAGCCAAACCCTGAAGTTCAGAGGGGTTGAGAAACTACACATGATTGCCAGACTAATGAGTAAATGATGATATCCCAAAGCTCCTTTTTATCCCTCTCTCTGGCAGAATAGAAAGAAGCAAAATGGGAAAGTTGAAGCCCATGGATCCTAATCCTCACCTCCTTCTTGGCCCCTCCCTCCGCCCCTTCCTTCCTGTCCCACTGTTTTAATTTTTACCCCTAGTGGCCACACCTCAGAAACCCGTGTAGCAGAGATGGGGACTGCACCAGCAGAGCAGGTGGGAGTTGGGGCCGGGCTTGGGGGAGGATGGTTGCAAAGAGGAAAGGTAGAGGGATGGGATTTCCCCACCAGGCCACAGGGGTTTCAAAGGCCACAGGAACCGGTGCTATCCTAGGGCAATCTCAGGTAGGGCTTCGCCAGATAGCTGGGGCTGGTTGTGCAAGGCTGGGGTTCTAGAGTGTAGGACTGAGGCTGAGGAGACTACAGCTGTGAAAAAGGACAAGGCTGAGCTGAGAGTCCAGGGTCCCAATAAAGCCTGGAAAATCTGAGTCCCAACATCAGACAGAGCAGCTGAACTGGAGGTACAGTTGGGGAGTAGGGAGGGGAGAAGGGAAAGAGGACAAACAGAAACCCTTTTGGGACCCAAGCATGGAGTCTAGTCCCAGGACCAGAGTCTGAATACCAGAAGCAGGTCTGCACGTGAGTGTCCTTCCCAGAGAAGGTGCTGCATGGGTAACTGAAGCTCTAAGATTTATTAATAATACAAATTGAGCTACAGAGAGCAAAGATGCTTCCCATCCATTATCTCCCTCAATTCTTGCAGCAAGCAAGGGTTCCTAACATCTACTTTATATATTAGGAAACTGAACCCTTGAAAGAGAAAGTAATTTGCTCAAGGTCACCCAGAAAGCTGGAGGCAGAGGCAAGAAGGGATGCTTGGGATGCTTGGGAAGCCCAGACCCTGGGGAGAGGGCTTGTGTGTGAGGGGAGAGTTTACAGAGATCCTCTATCTTTTCCCCTCTCATGTGTAGCTGCTCACAGGAGCTCCCAGTTTGGAGGCATGGTGCATTGAGGTGGGAACAGTGGTTGGGGAATGATGGGTGTGGGAAAGTGTCTCATCAGACCTTTCATCTTGACCTCCCCAGGTCTCCTGGGGCCCCTACTCTGGGGACGATGATGACGAGGCATACTCCTCTGAGCCAATGCCGGAGCTCTGCTACAAGGCAGACGTCCAGGCCTTCAGCAGGGCCTTCCAACCCAGCGTCTCCTTGACGGTGGCTGTGCTGGGTTTGGCCGGCAATGGTCTGGTTCTGGCCACTCACCTAGCGGCCCGGCGCATGGCCCACTCGCCTACTTCAGCCCACCTGCTCCAGCTGGCCCTGGCCGACCTCCTGCTGGCATTGACCCTGCCCTTTGCCGCAGCTGGGGCACTACAGGGCTGGAGCCTGGGCAGTGCCACCTGCCGTGCCATCTCTGGCCTCTACTCGGCCTCCTTCCACGCTGGCTTCCTCTTCTTGGCCTGTATCAGTGCCGATCGCTACGTGGCCATCGCGCAGGCCCTCCCAACCCAGTCTCGGCCTTCGGTGCCAGGCCGGGCGCACTTGGTTTCGGCTGTCGTGTGGCTGTTGTCACTACTCTTGGCGCTGCCTGCCCTCCTCTTCAGCCGGGACGGGCAGCGGGAAGGTCAGCGGCGCTGCCGCCTCATCTTCCCCGAGGGCCTCACCCAGACGGTGAAGGGAGCGAGCGCCGTGGCCCAGGTGGTCCTGGGCTTCGCACTGCCGCTGGGCGTCATGGCGGCCTGCTACGCGCTGCTCGGGCGCACGCTGTTGGCCGCCAGGGGGCCTGAGCGCCGGCGCGCGCTGCGCGTCGTGGTGGCCCTAGTGGCGGCCTTCGTGGTGCTGCAGCTGCCCTACAGCCTCGCCCTGCTGCTGGATACCGCCGATCTGCTGGCCGCCCGCGAGCGGAGCTGCCCCGCCAGCAAGCGCAAGGACCTAGCTCTGCTGGTGACCGGCGGCTTGGCCCTGGCTCGCTGCGGCCTCAACCCCGTGCTCTACGCCTTTCTGGGGCTGCGTTTCCGCCAGGACCTCCGGAGGCTGCTGCGGGGTGGGGGCTGCAGCTCAGGACCTCACCCCCGCGCCCGCTGCCCCCGCCGGCCCCGCCTGTCTTCCTGCTCTGCTCCCACTGAGACCCACAGTCTCTCCTTCTAGGACGTCTAGAGCCTCGAATCCAGAAGAGGGGGTCGGGTTGAGGAAATTCCCCGGGAGGAGAGTGGGGAAGGACACTAAGGGGGGAGAACACTGACAAAGACGTAGAGGCCTAAAGGGATGGATGGCTTCTGGGCCTGGACTGATTAAATTGATAACATGAAAATAAGATGAAAGCCAACAACTGTTACTATTTTTGAGTCGCCGACTTGCAAGTGATTTGTAGCAGGCAGAGGCGGCGGGTCACCCCTCCTGCTGGGTTCTGAGTGGGAGGCGCTGAGAGCAAGGGTGGGGGTGGGGGGGTGCTGAGCCTGCTGAAGTGCTAGGCACTGACACCCCCTCTGCTTTCACCCAGTCAGCCGACAGAGGTGAGGTGGGAAAGCTGACAGGCCGAGGGGTGGGGGTTCCTCTTGAGAGTGTAAGGAAGAGCTTTCTAACAATCAGAGCGACCCAGTCATGGCTGCCTTAGGAAGTCCTGAGTTCCTGGCCTTTGGAATGTTCAAGCAGAGGCTGTTTGGGACTGTGTGTGGGGTGGGGGGGGTAGGATGAATGGAAATTTGGATTTAGACCACCATTTTAAACAAATCTTTTTGAGGTTCTGAGATGGAAAGGGGGGGGAAATGTAATTTTAAAAATTTGAGTTAGAGTCCTTAACCTTAGAGACAAAGCACAACGAGGGAATTTCACGTTACAAATTTCCAATAGTCATTATCACTGGCTTGGGGTGGAATGAGGGTATTTCTGTTCTCCATCTTTCCTGGGGACAGGGTCACAGGAAATGCATGGAGCCTCCCAGAAAGAGGGAGGTGAGACCTCAGAAAGAACTTCCCTGCAACCTAGGGCCTGGGCTCCGGACAGGGAAGAGCACAAAAGGCTGCAGATATCGCTGTCTCTAGCAAAGCTCTGTGCAGGGGTGTGTGTGTGTGGGGGGGGGGGGGGGTCTCTCTCCCTTCTGGGACAAGGGACGGCTTCTGAAGATGGTTGCATCGATTTATGGTCTTTGTCTTAAACACTCCACACAGACAGAATCATGTTCACAGGAGACAACACTTGCAGTTTAATATCCGGTCAGCAAAGTTGTCCTGACCACTCGTTTGGACACCCGGGTGAGGGGCGCAGGGCGAGAGGGAGGGAGGGGCGTGGCGAGAAGGTCTCAGGGGAGGCGTTGGCTTGATGTCCCCACCTGGTCCCACCCTGCTGAGCCAGAGTTAGTCCTCCTCCCCAGACAGAGCTCAAGAGGCTAACTCCCAGAGCGACGGCCTCCAAGGGCCAGGCTCAAGGAAGGCCTGGAGACCGCTCAGGTCCTCTGAGGGTCACACAGGCCTGCAGCTGGGGGCTGACTTGGAACCCACCACCGGAGACTAAGGCGATCGCCGCTGAGTCAGCAATGCGCGCTCCCGCGGTCGCCCGGGGACCCGCCCCCTTCGCCTAGCACCTCGATTAACCCTTTCCTACACAGACCTGCAGGCTCTTTGCCTGGAGAGGTCATTTCATTAGGAGATCCCAGAATCTCTAGAAGCGCAAGCTACTCTCCCTACCCAAATTCAGTATGCTGTGCCCTCTAAATTCCAAACTAGGCCTGCACTTGCCCAGTGTTCCCTGTCTCAGCTTCTTTAGTTCTAAAAGAGATGACTCCGGCCTGGATTCCTTCACCCCAGAATTCTCTAGAACTATGACAGGCCCAGGTCTGGACACCTTTCCAGTTGCAAAGACTTCCCTTTGTCGGGGCTGTGGAGACAAGATGAGGGTTTAGAGGGCAGCAGGAAAGTCTTCCTTAACTTCAGCCTCTAGGCCCTTGGCTCCCTTCTGCTTGCTCGAATTTTTGATCTGTTAGTGGGTGGTGTTTTTAGGTACCGTCTACTACGTCTCAGAGACCTTATGAACAACAGATCTGTACCTTACCCTATCCAGTGCCACCCTCAGTATCTCTGTTTTGCTCAAGCCCTACCACCACGAACTTAGTTGGTGAGCCAAGAGTTAAAACAAGAGCGTGGAGGCGGAGCTTCCGTGACGTCACTAGCACCCTGCGTCCGACCTCAGAGACTGGGGAGTGGCTAACATCGCGCTGCCTTTTCCCTCTCCATATCCCCGCCCCTCCCCGCTGTCACCAAGCCAGCGCGCACATGATGCAACCCGCCTCAGCTTCAGTTGTTTGATTGGTGGCCGCGCCCGGCGCCAGGCACAAGGATTGGGCAGTGGAAGCTGTGACGAAATCTGGACCCTGCCCTGTAAAGCTGGGAGGAGAGAAAGAAGAGGGACCAGGCGGGGTGGG